TTTTTTTTTTTTTTTAGCAGTCTCGAACGCGTGCGTTCGCCGACGAAGATATTACTCGCAACGTTATACGATTTACGATTGTTCCTTCTCGTTTGTCGCGTGTGTTGAAAAAGTGTATCCCAAGGATCGTGTAAATTGACGATTTCAACCCAGACGACAGTTTCGTTGCCGCTCTTCGTCGATTGCAAATTGTCGTGAAACTTCAGCAACGTGGAGCGCGTGGTAGTAGAATGCATGACGGGTAAGTATAATGGAACGGAATCGCGGATTAAGGAATTCTATGCGTATCGCGCTCCGAAGTATTATGGGACTGTTGCCAAGATAGAGCATCGTCCGAGAGAATTTTAAGATTCTCATTTACAATTTTTTTCTCGACTTTGTAGTTAACGATAAAAAAAAAAATTGCAGACGATAATACATCGACTCTTGTATACAATTATGATATTCTGTATGAGTGTCTTGAAAAAGTATTGAAAATGTAGTAATTTTAATTTTAACGTTTTAATAACGATTTATAGATGCGATAAATCAACTTTTCAATAGTTTCTTTAATATATTCTTTTATAAAGATGCAATTATGATGCATATTTGCGTAGATAAAATTCTTATATAATGATACATATTGTGTATCATTATACAAGAATTGTTTGAGGTATCAATTTCTTCATTGCTATTCACTATATATTATTAGCTTATAGATATAGATATTATTTCGTTCCGATATTACGCGTTCCTATCTCAATCTATTCGTATATATTTGTTAGTATTAATCACTTTAAAATTAACTGGAATCTAGCAAGATTTATCTATATCCATTTATCATATCTCGCTAGTAAAAGTTGATTTGTGTCAGAGGTATTATAGGTAGTTATTAGCTCTAATATTGCTCGAGTTAAAATAGAGAGAGAAAACGCCATTTTGCCAATAAAATTTACCGCGTTCAAAAAAAATCAAATACATATTTTAATAATATATATATATATATATATATAGGTAATTTCATATCAAAATTTCGCATAACTTCAAATAAGCATAACCCCGCCAAAAATTGTCATACTTAAAATATTTTTTGTTCATTCTCAAGCTTAAAGTCTGTACTTTAAAAACTATTTGTCAGATTTTGAATTTATTCTCCCTCCCTTCCCGTCGTCTTTTCAAAAGGACGTGTTACGTCTCCAAAAAATTGCATAATTTGACGTATTCCACGGGGTGAAATGAATTTTTTTCGCAAATCTCATGATAATCATCGTAAAATATGGACTTTTCCTTGTAACTTAAAAAAAGAATGGGTACGATTTTTTTCGCAGAGTTACGACGTATCAAAGTTACCCGTACATTTTTGTTCAATTACCGTCAGCATTAACATTACCCGATATGCAAGACGAAGAGGTTGCCGGTCGGATTTGGCGCATTGTGTGTTTGTTGTTGTTGTTGTTGGGGGAGGAGGAATGTTCGCACTTAAAACTGTGTATTCCCACCTCATATTCGGATGATCTCTTGCAGACGCTCACGCATATGATGCAGGTTTTAATTGTGAAGGAACTGAGGAATTTCATTCCATATTTGGTGTAGCGCTGCTTCGTATAAATTTCGTATATGCGTGAGCGTCTGCAAGAAATCATCCGAAGACGAGGCGGGAAGACACAGTTTTAAGTGCGAACATTCCCACATCTTCCTCCTCCAACAATACATACACACACATACACACGGTGCGCCAAATCCGACCAGCAACCTCGTTCTGTTGTGCATCTGGTAATGCTAATGCTGGCGGTAATTGAACCAAAATGTACTGGTAACTTTGAAATGTCGTAACTCCGCGAAAAAAATTTTTAATTTGCAAGAAAAAGTCCATATTTTACGATGATTATCATGAGATTTGCGAAAAAAATGTATTCCACCCCGTGCAGTGCGTCAAATTATGCAATTTTTTGGAGACGTAACACGTCCTTACTCTTGAAAAGACGACGGGAGGGGAGGAGGATAAATTCAAAATCTGACAAATGGTTTTTAAAGTACAGACTTTAAACTTGAGAATGAACAAAAAAGTTTTCAGATACGACAATTTGTGGCGAAGTTATGCTTATTTGAAGTTATGCGAAATTTTGACATGAAATTACCTATGCGATAATTTTGTTGACGAGTGTATGAATGATTATATGTTATTATACTTTTTGTATTATATATCTATATATAACGTGTAGGGTGCATATATAATTAGCTAACTATGTTACATAAAAATTATGAAACATATTTTAATTCCATACAGATACATATACACACATAAATGTTCTACTTTTTAATGTCTTAAGACAAGTAGGTCAAGGATATATCGTGACAGTTTCAATGTTATGAAAATTATACTATTAAAATTAAGCATGACTAGTTTCTTTTCTGTGTATCATATGGAACTAGCAATGCGATGATATAACATTTAATGAAATTAATTTTGATCTTATTCAATTCTAATGAAAGTTAAATCTGTTTCAACATATGTTACGCGATTAAGAGTGCAATTATATATGTCATATTGTATTGATAAATAAATATTTCTTATACATCTTTATAGCTTTCCAAGATTAAAAAAAGACGCGTTTTTTTGCGACGCTAAATCTCTGTAATCATTTTCTATTAGATTTTCTAATCTTTTGAATCTCTTCTTGAACGTGAGAAAGAAGAGTTCGTTAAGAAAAACTACAAAAAAAAAAAAAAAAAAAAAAAAAAAAAAAAAAAAAAAAACGCGGGGTATTTTATTATGAGAACTGGGTCGGGGTGCAAAACAGGGCGATGTCTCGCAGGAGATGCACGTGACTCTTTTCACGTATATCATCATCACGCGGGTTGGCGCGAATGCTACGAATAGTGAAAGGATAATCCGCGTGACGAGGATCGAGAAAGCAATCCGCGCTTTGTTTCGATCAACTTAACAGATTTGATCTCAGTCGTCTATCACGCGACTTCCCTATCCTAGGGACATGTATCATCACGCACGAGATGATACGTAATTAGATCGGATAGAACTTTGAACTGCGCGATATGAAGATCAGATGAATGTTTCATAATTCAAAATCGTTCTTCTCGCGTTTACTTTTACCCGCTTTCGAATCCTTTCACCAAGCTAGTAAATCATTTGTTTTTTAATTGTCAAATAAAATACCGGTCTGTGTGTGCGGCGATTCGCAGACATTGAGGACGGTCGATCACTGTCCGCCTACTTAATGGCAATTATTGTATCTAATCGAGATGCTGCAGCACGATGTAGAATCGGCACAATGATAGCAGTCGATTAGCGAAGCGTATCGCGAAAGCTCTCATTACAACCTTTCGACAATTATTCCAATTTGTTAAGCTAGCCAATTGCACAATACACATCATTATATTATTTATATAATCAACACAATATCGCTGATTTTAATTCGAAATTTTATATTCATTCTTAGATTGTATCATTTAAGAAAAATGTTAATAAAGCATTTTTATAATAATTTCAATTGCTTTTAAATAAATTATATTTCTATTTAAATAAAATAACGATAAAAAATACTGAAGTAATCGATATTTTTATTCTCTCCATATATATATATATCTGTATTCTCTATCTCTCTATATTCTGTTCTATAATAATGAACCGATTTAATTCATAGTGTGTTGTCATATATAAAACAAATAAAAATGATACTGATTTATAATGTTGAATAATTTGGAAATATATTTAATTCGGCAATCGTGATAACTGTAATTTTCTTATTCCTGTAACATAAGACACACATACATATGAAAATTATTAAATTTAATTTTTTTAGCATTCATTCGTCTTTGCTTATAGAATCTAAATCATAATATAAAGAAAAATGTATATACATTTTTGTATTTTTAATATAATGTATTTTTATATTTTTAATATAATGTATTATAATCTATCAATATAGAAACGAAAAAGTATTGCACAACAATAGGGAAGAACTTTCTTGCGACATTTTACGGCAGATTTTTTGGCGAATTTTCACTTTTCACACGCTTCCTGACCACTGTTTCGCGCATTCTCCGATCGGATTTCACGCGATTACGTACGCGGAATATCAATCCGTATTGACGTAATTTATTCAGGTAAGATTGAGGTTTTTCTAAAAAACCAATCAACAATAAATAGACATTTAATCAATGAACCATGATCCATTCAATGACCACAAAAAAGTTATTTCTCCAACCTTCTGATTTCATAAGATATTTACCTAGCATTGTAAAAAATGAATAGATCATTAATTTATAATGAATGACAAGTATAAGTAAGAGAAATATATATCTTTTTTTATAAAATCAAAATGTAGAGTATATAAAGCATATACATAAAACTTTTTTTTCATTTTTTAGAGAAACAATTCAAGGAAGAATATATTTTACGCTTAAATTAAGACTTTAAATTAAATATTAATTCCATATCCAATTAAGATAAGAATTGGGCTATCTTGAGATACATATTTATTTCATAGTACTACCGGGTAACAATTATGTAAATATATTGTAGAAACAAAAATATACTTTTAAATTACTTTAAATTATATAAATTGCTGTAACAAGCATACAGTTACGCTCTACTTTAAATATATAAGCTGCAATAAAAAAAGAATTATGCCGCGACAAGGTGTATATATCAAAAATATTGCTTTTAACACTGCAATTAATTCCCATTAAAATTAAAATTAGTTGTTACGATTAAGATTACCGAATACATGAGGACCGGTTTATTAGGTTGCACACGTGAATCGCATACGAAATGTTCGACTTGGCCAGAAGGAATGGAAGAATCCAGATCGTTTTAAATGTCGATTGACTCTTATTATCTATTCATTATGAGGAACGAAAGGTACTTTCATCGCCAGCAAGCTACAAAGCGAATGCGAATAAGCATCAATCATTTCTAACATGTTCAATGTAAACCGCACATTAATGCAATTTCACGACAAGCGGCAGTGAATGGAGCACGGATGTACGTGCGACACAATTATTAGTCTCTTATAAAGTATGCTTTACTAAAAAGTTCAAGGTGGTGGAAGCCCGTGTTAGCTTCCCATACATAATATCATATTACATTTTGTTATATGTTTTTTACATATTTGTTAGAAAATTCCAAAATATATGTATTATTTTCATAGCGTATTTTAAACGAGTATGCAAATAGATACTCAATAACGATTAATATTCAGAGAAATTAATTTCAATATATAATGCAGAAAATTTATTAAATAATAAAATCAGCAAAAAAAAAAAATTTTTAGCCCGTGTTAGCTTCCCATACATAATATCATATTACATTTTGTTATGTTTTTTACATATTTGTTAGAAAATTCCAAAATATACGTATTATTTTCATAGCGTATTTTAAACGAGTATGCAAATAGATACTCAATAACGATTAATATTCAGAGAAATTAATTTCAATATATAATGCAGAAAATTTATTAAATAATAAAATCAGCAAAAAAAAAAAATTTTTCTTTTTTGTCAAACTCAAAAATCAAGAATAACATATTTATTTCCCCCATCACGAATTATCAGCAGCACAACATTTGTAACTATTACATACGCGAAATGTGTTTATTATCGCGCAATTGTATCAATTGCACGCTTACGAATTATGTAAATGTATCGCAGAGCGTGAGATTACAAAATGTAGAAGTAACTTTTACGGACAGGAAGCGTCCGCGATATATTTTTTATGTTAAAAGGAATAGAGATTATGGAAGAATTTCAACTTGTATCCCAGTTTCTCTGCTGCTCAAAATGCACCGGATGCAATATCCTTAAATAAGAACGCACGTACCGTGCAAGAGATATTATCAAGCTATTATGCCAGAGAACAAGGAGAGTTCATCGTCATGAACTACTAAAACATTTTATGTGACTTCTTTTTACCATTTTATGTGAAATTCTTTTTACCATTGTTATCAATAATTTTTTTTACAATTTTTATAGCCTCCATTGTTATCTTTTTTTCTCTATTAATTTCTATTAAAATATGAAAGAGATACGGAATTGCACATCTATTATAATGTATTCCGTATCGTACATTCACTTTGAAGAAAATATGCGGAAAGTATCGAGGCTTAATATGTAATTAACTGGTTTAATTAATATTTGCATTCAATAAAATATGACTTTGTTCGCCAATTTTAGCTTCGCCTATTACTACGACAATTTTTATAATCTTTGTATGTTATATATTATGCGCGAAATAAAAGAGAAATGAAAAATTATACGTCAATTAAAAAGCATTTCATTATCTCAATATAATTGTACTGTCACCTTTCGAACAGATGTCAGATCAACAAGATATGATACAATACGTGTATAAACGATTGTCGTGATTTAAGACAACATCGAGGCAAGCGGGCCTTTTGCACGATACTCTTTGACGTGAGAGAGATAATTGTTTGTGCGGGGAATGTTGCAGATTCGCGATAACGCGGACGCGATCCGCGATAATCGGATCGCTGCTGCTGTTGGTAACGGAATATTGCAATGGGCTACAATATCAACCTTTTGACTCTTATGCAAACGGAGAGGAGTGCGCCTTGATCCTGGACGCTCGCGGTAGAACCAGCGTTTACGACTACACCTATAATTTACTTCGCGGGTCGTTGTAAGTATCCCCATTAACATAGAGTATGAATCCACGCGACGATAGCGATCTTAATTTAGCGAAAGCCGATACGAAGGTAGACGATATGTTTCTCAGAAATAACTGGAGTGAACTTTCGTAAAGTAAAATTATGCTATCTGTGAATTTTCGCATCCCCCACTAATATAAATGAATCGTATTTTTACGTTATTCGTGGCTGATTAGTAGGCTTTATTTTAATGATGTGTTTATTCTACAACAAGAAGTGCCGGTTTAATTAAGATAGCCTGTATATATTTATCATTCATTAACATATATTTAATTATTATGTATTGTCAAAATTTTATTATGTAGTTATTGATAATTGCTGATTATCGCTTAAGCGCAATATTGCTTTTTATTGTGCTACCGATTACGAAAGTATCATAGAAGTAAATAAAAATTATGTCCTATCCTAATTTTTATTTATTGGTTGTATATCTATCCTAGGATACATCGTAAGAATTAAAAAATGCAATTATCGTCTTATTATAAATCGTGTTCGCCAACTGCATCGAAACCTACGTTTATATAATAGTCTTCATTCGACATTCTGAACTTTAAAATTGAAAGGATTAGAGAAAGCGGGAACTTTGGTTGTACAGCCAGGACTTTCACTATCATCCTGCTCCCGCAGGACTAGTGGTTTTTAATACATTATTACCGGTTTTCTACATAAAGTCGTATATATGCAATCCTACGCAAATGCATTTGCGAAACAAAGGTTGTTCCGTGTGTCTAACGGAAAATATGTCTAGAAAAAACTGTATAATACGCAATTTCAAGTTGAAATTTTGCTCCTATTTTCTTATATTTTTTTACGATTATGAATTCTGAATAATTTTGATAGATTTTATTTATATAAGAATTATATTGCACTATTCATACCTCAAATAGATAAACGAACAATCTCCCCCTTGAAAAAAGAACTTTCGACGAAACTATAAATTAAATAATTTTAAAATAGAGTGATCTGACTACTTAAAGTATCAAAGTAGATGTTAAACTGAATATTAAAGTAAGAGAAAAATTTCAATTCGGGTTACGACCACTGCAAAATACGCTTTCCTTATCGAACTTTTAAAAGCGGCCATTGCCAAGCAGGATCGCGTTTATGGTATTGAGTCGTAAACGCGTCATGTAACAGAAGTGACAGTTACGTGTCGCGGTAAAGCCTGCTCTGTCCCATTCATCGCCTGTATAGAGAATTGTATTTACCGTATTGTATCACAGTTATAATCTTCGCGTCCAGACACCTCATGCGATGCAACATGAAACCTGTGATTATCTACCGTTTTTCGCGCCCGGCGAGACGGACATATTTATCGTTTGCGTGTGCTCTCGTGAAATCTTCATAAGACTGAATTTGACTGATTACGAAGGTTACAGTTGCGGTTTATTTACTGGACAGTAAAAATTGAAGAAAGAAAAATTTTTTTGGCTAGCGTCAAAATTGAATTAACTCGTATGTCATCTCTTATCCCTGTTACAATAAAAAAATATATCGACGTATTTAATTGGTCCTAACGTGGCTTTTGCAATAACTGCGTAGAGATTCGACATAGCTATATGCGCTGGTTTAGATACGCGGATTCGCGAGGATACAAACGGCGACTATTAATAAGATTATTAATCTATTCGTCCATACGATTAAGCTCGTACGCACAGGAATCTTACCACCGCTAATTGAGCCTTCTCAAGGCGCGCCACTAATGAAATACAAGAAGTCACGTAACGATAAAATCGCTTTAAACTGAATTGCCAAAGATCGTGGTAACCGAAATAACGTGATAATGGCCTCACTAGTGAGGAGAGAAACGATTACATGTCAATGTAAATCATCATTATTCTAAATTCCACGCGCCTTTGCATTTGAGTAGCTTGCATGAATTCAAGTTATTTTAAAATTGTAAAACATGAAAATGTTCAATAATGGTCCCATTTGAATATTTTATTTTTTTTAATATTAATGAAAACATTAAAAATAATTAATTAAAATTAATTACTATTTGCTCCATGTAAAATTATACAGCAAAATATAAATAGTTTATAATTCCATACTCAATTTGCCGAAATCTTTAGGAAGATCCGCAATACTTTCCTATAGAAAGAAAAAGTAGTTTTCAATTTTAATTTTTTCCTTGAAAGATTTAATAAAAATCGATGCAACTGCTTTTGTTTATCTAACAATAATAGATGGAAATCTAGAATTAATTTCTAGTTTTTTAAAAAAGAAAAATATATCGATATACGCATAAATATTTAAAGATAAAATTCAATAGATAGATGCAGAAAAAATAAAAATGTATATAATATATTGCGGTCATATAGCGCACGCGAGTAAATTAATAGCTAGTTACTCAATAAAATAAGAAGTAGCATTAGTCAGGAATTCACATACGCAAGTCGCGTGATCTGTGTCGACCGTTTAGGTAGCCGGTACGACATTGTAACGCCGTCCGATTAGCGATGTCACGCATCTACTTGGTTGGAGGCACTCGGAATGTCAAGCAGGTGCCCGGGGACACGATATAACGAGAGACGCAATTGCACCGCGAAACGATACTGCCGATCTAGAGATCGAAATTGCGCGTGCTATCGGCTGTGAAAGCGAGACTTGATAATGTTTCGAAAGGATTGCACTAAAGAGAGTGCAAAAAGGAGAAACGGATTCGATGCGCGAAATAATGCCTCGCAATCTCTGCTCGAAACGGACTTGGGAACGTGATCCACGAAACGATCCCGCAGCGGCAAGAAAGCCGGATTATTTTCGATTACCGTGAATACCTCGCGTTATTCGCGACAACGTCACGTTTATTAAAGTACGAATACCGTGAGCTGTAAAATATAATTTATGTATATTGAGAGAAAGAAAAAGGTATACCCCTTACCCGGCTTGGCGTAATTCGCATTTATCACCGGGTGGCGCGAATGGGCTATAGCAGTTGGTCGAACCAGTTATGGTAAGTGCGTCGATGCACGGCATCATTATAGAATGCTTTCGTTATTATTATCGTCGATTGCAGCATAACGGTGGAAGCACTCGACCGCAATTAGACGCAGGAAACTGCCTATCTCTCTTTCTCTCTCTCTCTCTCTCTCTCTTTCTCATCTTAACGCTTTTGCATCTTAAATACTTTATGATTGGTAATCCGCGTCGCTTGGATCAGATGTTTAGAACTCTGTCGATCCCTAGAATAAACGTCAGCATATATATATCAGTGTCTTAAATAAATTAAACAAGTTGAAATCCTGTTATGCTAAATACTCACGTTCGGTGAACGTACACGGAGTTTAATTGTACAATCATGTGCCGATATTTCAAACTGCCATATCAATATACAATGTCACGCGTGTGCGATAAATGATAAAAATAATATATTTCTAATATGCGTTAATCACTTATTTTGCAACCATTTAATTTCGAACATTTTTCTAAAATTTATGATGAAGATCAATTTTTGCATTTGCATCTTAATAAAATATGTAGAATTTTAATTTGGAATTAGAGAGAGAGAGAGAGAAAGAGCGATTGATATACGATTGCAATAAGCATAGAGACAGAAGGATCAAAGACGGAAACTGCGGATGAGCATATGATGTAGAGAAATGCGTAAAATCGCTTCAATCAATCTTCGTGCCACGAATGGCATGTCAATGTCAGTATATTTCGCGATGGAAACAGGATATGAAAGTCAATTCACCCGCGAGTCAATTCATAACCGAGCTCATTTAGGATAGTTTCGGATTACCTTGATACGAAATATCTACACTCATAAGACGCTCGTCCGTCTCTCGAGCAAATCTCGCGCAAGGCTTTCGAGAGTGTCGGCTTCTCACGAAAGTAGGCTACAAACGTTAGGTAATTAACCCGATGGTGCAGAGGAAGGCGAAAATAGGGGAGGGGCTGCAAATAATACCAGCACTGAAAAAGATCGAGTATGCGTCAACTTTCATCCTTGTTCTTTCGCAGCCCCACCACGGGAGGAGCTCAAACCTGTATCACATACGACGCCGTAAATCATGCTTACGTCGAGGCGAGGAAGCGCATTAGTGAGTGTATTAAGTTTCATTTAAAAAATTAATCGCGTGCTATATCTTGTAATTTATCGATAATGATCGATACGATGTTCGCGAGTGTCGTTTGCATGACCAGTCGTATATATTATCGTATATATTAAATCATAAATTCATTACGATCGATAGCTATGCGTCGATCTTTTACATCGTTATTCATTTCCTTATCTTGTTATGTCACTTATATGTAATCATCTCTTGTAGACGTCGCGAGACCGAAGTCAGAGATATGGCGACCGGAGGACCTGGCGACGGTCGGCGAGCTGCTTCTTGACATTAGCACGAACCTCGCGCAAACGTAAGTCTCTCTACGATCTACGACAAGTCTATGTAATGCTCACAACACGATTTCCCCATCTCCGTCTCCTTTCACACCGCGCCGTCTTCTTTCTCTTTCTCTTTAATTTCTTTTTGACTTTCTAATCATCGACATCCAGATATGGACTGACCTACGAGGAGATAGAAAAAAGTCTACCACTGATCGACACCTCGAAGACTCTGATCCGCGAGGTTTGTCCCGCCTTTCTCAGCAATGTGGAATGCAGGCCGGGCAAGTATCGGCGATACGATGGTCTCTGCACGAATTTACAGAATCCCACATGGGGGGCTACCTTGTCGCCTTTCGCGAGGTAATTATGATCTTTTTGGTTTTTTTTTTTTTCAGTATAAGGGATAAAACGCAAGGCCTTTTTTACTTCTTATTCTTGCAGATTGATAAGTCCGCAATTTGCGGACGGTTTATCAGCGCCAAGGATATCCGTAACGGGTCATAATCTACCATTGTCCCGAATCGTGTCGCGCACCATGCATCCGGACGAGGGTTATCACGATCATGCTGGTACTGTTATGGTTATCGCGTGGGGACAATTCATGGATCACGATTACACTTTAACCGGCACGCCTCTAGGTACTTTTTCATTCATTATTTTCGATACAACATTTGCAACAGGTTTTTCTGCCGTACAGTTGCTGATTTTAACGCCAGCGCACTGGTTATTACACTTTCGTTAGAAATAAAATTCCCCTGATATTGATTTAATTATTATCAAGATACAAAGCTATATTTAATCAAATAAATAAATAAAAATTCGTAATTTCTTGATATTTTACACAATTTGCGATAAAGTATGATAAAAATTAATTAGAAAAACAAGTATATAAGTATATATATAAATTAATTAAATAATGCATTAATTTATCTATATAATTTTTCTCTGAACAAATATATAAATCATAAATCATAAAAACATTCAGTCACACGACAATAGTCTTTCTCAGCAAAAGAACATCCTCCAAAACTATCGGCAAAATTATTAGATTGAATTTCAACTTATGCCTTTCAATGAGAACTATTCTTTACTGACTAATATGAATAAGGAAATGATCCTTCAATATATGAAGTTCGTTACAATACATGTACATAATCTCATTCAAAAGTTATACGGGCTGACGTTTTCGTCAGCCATACGCTACAACGATGAAGCCTGTCGATTTAATCATGCAACTAGAATAGGAAATTAGAAAGCGAGCCTCGACGGACTGATTGCTCATATTGCGTCGAAGCAACTGTATCGAGATATTTGATATACGCTCTTGCGCGCGCATCGTAGCATCGTAGGTCGCTCGCTCTCGTAGAAGCCCTTCCACATTTACCGTATATATCGAAAGGAGGGTAACTACGAGAGAAAGCGAAAACAATCATTGCCCGGATAAACCAATTACCAACCATCATGTCCGTCCATGACGTATCCGAGCAGCATTCATCGGTTTGAGATCAAATCGCCGCGAATGCGTCTACCAAAATTGGCAAACCGTTGACTTGTAAGCAATCATTGCTGAGAAATAAATGCGACTATATGCGCCAATTATCAAATTGTTCTCGGAAAAGGGAATAATTTGGAATGCAATCTTGTTTGTTATATCGCCCCTTGGGGCGATCCCACGCATGTGTGCGTTTTCTCCAGAGAAAGATAATTAATCGACAACGTCGATTTTTTCCTTCGTCTAAAACACGATTGAGATTACGACAGTCGAGAGAGAAATAGTATGATCGTAATGTTCCATTCAATCGCGAAAACTGATATTCCGTCGATTCGCCGCATGCGGAATATGTATGAAGCGTGCGTAATAGGAACGCGCTATCGCTCTCTGCTATCATTACGTATCGATCATCGCGTTTGCAGATCCCATGAACCGAAACGACCCGGAAGAATGCTGCGGCCGGCCGCCACACCTGAAGAATCCTTATTGCAATGAGATTCTCATACCGGAGGATGACTATTTCTACAGACTGTTCAACGTGCATTGCATGGACTTCGTTCGCGCTTTTCCTGCCGTTCGACCTGGTTGCCGTCTCGGTTCCCGAGTGCCTTTCAATCTTCTTACAGGTGTGCTGGATGGTAATACCGTTTATGGCATCACGGAAGCTTTCGCTAGGTAAATCACAATGATTTGCTTTTAATTCGAATTCTAATAGAAAATAATTATTTTCAAATATTTATGCAACAGAGAACGCACATTGTTGATCTAATTTACACCTAAAACGAATATGAAAATTGTAATTATGCAAATTTTTAAGCAACACGCGTATATTATGTGACAATGAAATAATTATGCTGTATCTATATAGAGAAATTGTGACCACATTAATTTTAATCACATTAATTGTGACCACATTAATCAATAATCGCAAATTTCTCTATATTATATAGCAATATTAAGCGCGTATATGGTGTATTTTAAATTCACCACTCTTCCCTTTAATAATAGATTTTGAATTTAAGATTCGATTAATTAGGATTCGATTTTTGTCTTGCTAAAAATTTGATCCTTCAAATAAATATTTCAATTCGTCAATTATAAAAAAATCGTCAATATTATAATATTTGTCAATTTTTAATTCGTAAATTATAAGTGTATATTAAAAAAAAAGTAAACGTAGAATAGCCGGTATATAAATGCGTTTAAATAATTATAGCAAAAAAGAAATTTGTTGAATATATTATACGTATAGTATTTCATAATAATGTAAAAATAAGCATCGGGGAATATATCAATCGCTAATTATTCTCTAGAATATGTCAATTATGAATTTTCGCGTGTACGCGTTTGGCGAGAAGCTTTATTCTATCTTATTCCATCTTTAAACGATATAAATATGTACATCTATTACGTCAGTGACGACAATAAATCAGTATTGCGTTGTTCTATTTTTTATTACAGACACGTGCCTTCGGTTCTTTGCACTTTCTAACATGTAGCACGAGATGCGATCTACGAATCTTGTAGTTGCTTAATCTTTGTTACCCTCCTTCGTGACATCATAGACACAAATACGATCTGCTATGTATATTTCCTGTTTCTAATAAGTAATATATATATATATTTCTTTCTATCTAAATACATATAAGCGTTATATTATATCCAAATGCAAAATAAATTTAAAAACGCGCTTGTTAAATTTCCGTAAAAATTTCTACAAAAAGTTCTTGTTCTAATATTTTAACTTATTTCGGAAATATTTCTAATTATTTTAGAAATATTAAATTGTCATAATAACTTCTGTGAAATCTTTTAAATTTAAGAATCGCATAATATAGAAATATTAAACAGCAGTAAAATCAAGATTCTAAAGATTAGTGCATAATATCCTATGAGAGAAAAAGATAATTGTGCGATATATGTGTGTTTTTATTTTATTTTTCAGAAAACTCCGAATGGGTTATGGTGGATTATTGCGAATGAATCCAGTTTTTTCGGAGTATGGTCTTAAGGATCTATTGCCGTTAAAGTTGGATATACCGGATGAAGGTTGCACTCGGCCAAACAAATCGATGTACTGCTTCGAAGCTGGTAATTTATATTTTCTACACATCAAAAATATGCAAAATCTAATAAAAATATTCCAAATCCAGAGAATATTTTTCCAACCATACATATACCAAAAATGAAATATAAAAAATAGGAGCTTTAATATAAAATTTACATGAATTGATTATTGAGCATTAATGTATACGGGAATATTAAAGATTTCATCAAATAAAATATTAAAAATTGAAGTGAATAACTATAATATTTTAATATAATATTTTAAGAGAGAAATGTACAAAACTTGAAATTTATTATTAATTACATTGAAATGTTTTTATTATTAAAAATTCTCTTGCTTATTTAAAAAAAAAAAAAAAAAAATTAACTTCAAAAATCTTGTGAATATTTTTTAAAAACTGATGAAAAATATATTTGATCGGTATGGAATATCTTGTCTGTAATATTTCCTAATATTTTTCCCGTATCATATAATAGTTATTGCATGTACTCGGTATATAATAGATGGTGGTCGTGACAAATCAATCGTTTCGTTATTACTTTAGACCGACACTTTCGAAGTAATAGCTTTAAAATGCAGAGTACAAGCGCGCGGGCGCAGACTATTAGGTCAATTGTATTCATTTGAATTTACAATGAGCAATACATGAGTCAGCGTGAGTCGAATGTAACCGTACTAATCTAACTATTCTAATTTCTGCTGATTTTTGCGCGTCTGATGATACAAGACAATAGAATAGTAAGTCACGCTCGTTACTGCCTTCTCGCGCGTCGCCGCTTACTGCCTATGCTTTCTCGAAATGGCCGTGATCGATGTTAGATCGCTCTATAATTTTACTCGGCACCCACGTCTTTCTCTTTCTCTCTCACTTACTCGCCCAGAAATTATTTTCCCACGTCAATCCGTCGATTATCCGGGAAACCTTACAGCGACATGTACAATGAATCTGATGGGGGGTTTGGTGAGACAAAACAATTCGATCGCGGCGATAATTGTATGCACTTATCACGCGCTCATACATCTTATAAATCATAGGTACCTGAATCCGGAATATAGACAGAAGCAGGCTGAACCATAAATCGTATGCATTCGTGTGAGCGTTCGGCGCGGCATCTCACTGCATACCCTGTACTTACATTAATCGCGTGTTACGGAAAATTCAATTGCTGCACAAAATTGGCTGTTATTATTTCAGTTTTTGTGGACAGTATGCAATTGATTTAATGCTCGTTTTAACTATCGGTAGGCATCGCACCAATATCGCTTATGATTATCAGTACGTCAATACAATGTGGGTGAGAAAGAAAGTGGTTGCGATGCAAGAGCATCGACTTCCCTAAAGTCGTAGGAATATTAGAAAAGAAATCGGATAGTTTGCGATGTTTGTTATTCTGTTTGTTGATTGCGTGCAAAAGTTCATGCAATACGGTAAAATTTTGTACAATGATTTAAATTGTTTTTTGTTCATATATAAATTAAATTATTTTTATTTGTTTGCTTTTATACTATATATATATTCTAATTATTAATTTATTAACGAAGAGATATTTAAATTAATTTGTTCTGCGCAATCTAAATTCGTTCGTCGCACGAAAAGATGTATGAGATAAACAAAGGATAGAAATTTCTTATTTCCATCTTTATTATTAAGGCAAAAATGCGACAATATGGTTTCGTGATGGCAAAATTATTATGCTTGGAAACTTTATCATTCAGATATCTAGTCAGATCTGAACTAATTAAAATTACTCGGTATAATAATTAATAGAGTAATAAATTGATATGTTATCGGAGAATGTCCGATAGAAATCATAATTTATATGTTTCTTACAGTATAGAATTTATGTTATGCAACTAAAGAATTATCTGGTTCTTTGTGAAAGTATCGCGAGTTTGTTATCTTCGATCATATATGAGAATTAATCACCTTTTTAAAATTTCAGACAAGCTTAATATTGTATCAGTCATCTCTCTGTCCTTACTTTCAGGTGAGATTCGTGTGAACGAGCAGTTGGTACTTACCTGTATGCACACCTTAATGGCACGGGAGCATAACCGGCTCGCCAAAGCGTTAGCCGCCGTCAATCCGCACTGGGACGATGAAATTCTCTTCCAGGAAGCCAGACGCATCGTCATCGCGGAAATTCAACACGTCACTTATAACGAGTTCCTCCCGATATTACTCGGCAAAGATGTCATGCAGAAATTCGGACTTCTTCTCGAAAAGGAGGTAAGTGGAATTGATGATCCTGAAATAAACAGAAATGCATAAATTAATTATAATTAGTTATAGTTTTTGAAAATAATTTCACTTAGTGGCTAAATGAATATTCATAGTTGTTTTATAAAAATTTCTAATAAAAATTTCTAATAATTAAGACTCTAACGATTAAGACTTGACGACATGTGTTTATTTTTTGCCATTTATCAGACAGCCATAAATAATTAATAATAGCCGTGTTGACGTTAAAGTATTGGTTTTTCGCAGAATTACTGGGACGGATATGATCCGAGTATAAATCCAGGTGTAATAGACGCTTTCGCTGCTGCTGCTTTTAGATTCGGCCACTCGCTATTGCCCACGGCTGTAGAACGATGGAGTAAAGCTCACAAATTTATTGGTAAGCGATATTGCATAACAAAAATTACATTGCATACAAAATGTGTATCAAAAATTGTTTTTTCTCAATTCGTGAATATATTACCAATAAAATTAATAAAAAAGATTAAATTTTACAGGAATTTTCTAATTTTTTCAAATCTTATTATAAATATTTGTTTTTATAGCTTCGAAAAGATTGTCAGACTTGATAAGACGACCGTACGATTTGTATCGCGCCGGTGTGCTCGACGAATATTTCATGGGTTTGATGAATCAAGTTGCTCAGGCTATGGATGATTCCATAACGCAAGAAGTAAGACAATGATAAGCATCAATAAAATATGCAATTATGCTACATTACACGACTTATCTTTTACAGGTGACAAATCATCTGTTCAAAAAAGCAGGGGCAAAATTCGGAATGGATCTGGTGTCTTTTAATATGCAACGTGGTCGTGAGTTTGGTATTCCAAGTTATATGGAGTTCAGGTGAGCAGAGCTATCACAGATTATAATCCATATTTATACTGACCACCTTATTTAACTAACTGTAATTGCAATTACATATTTTTTGCGCAATTATAATCCTTTATACCTATAGTAAATATATAATAAGCGAAGATAAATGCAACTGAAGAATAAAATTGAATGTGTGCTGATAAAATATCAAAAAGAATGCAGCCATAGAGAGTTAATAAAATTAATTGCCTCTTAATAATCGGAAAAAATTAGTAGAGCAAATCCCAATATATTATTGAACAAAAAGAAGAGAGTTCTTTTTAAATATAATTTAGAAAAAAGGAAAAGTGTAATAAAATAAGCCACAGCTAGCACTAATAAATGCGTTAGAATTAATTTTATAAGCAAATATAAGAAATTATTTATTTGTACTTGAATAATATATGTACTATTTCGTGATTTTATAATTTCAGAAAATACTGCGGCCTTCCCGAAGCGAGCACCTTTGAGGAATTATTCGGTTCCATGCCAAACGAAACTGTCAGACGATATAGCACTATCTTCGAGTGAGTATAACGTGTCTGTAAAACGCCAGCGGCGAAAACCTTCGGAAAGATCGATCGATCAAGTTTTGCATCTTATTACTCAGTTAGTGGACCGATCGCGCGGCGATTCTAAATATAGCGTGTTCAGAAATAACGGCTTAATTTCGGCCATGCTCCTTTTCAGACATCCTGCAGACGTCGATTTATGGTCGGGCGGCGTATCCGAAAGACCACTTCCGGGTAGTATGCTCGGGCCAACCTTCGCCTGCCTGATCGCCACGCAGTTCAGTCATTCGCGTAGCGGTGACAGATTTTGGTACGAGCTGCCGAACCAGCCATCGTCCTTCACTCTTGGTGAGAAAGAGCCCTTTCCAATTCGTGTGATCGCGAGTCGCGCGATCCAAGGACTTGATCGATAAAATCGATCGGAATATAACGAAGTGATATTATACCTTCTAAAACCGCACTCGCTTTCACTTTTCTAGAGCAATTGAACGAGATTCGAAAGACAAAGCTCGCCAGATTGATCTGTGACAATACCGATCTTATCGATACGATACAAATCTATCCGATGGTCCTTCCCGATCATGAAATGTAAGTGAATATAATTTTTATACGTTTATTATAGCAATGAATAAATAATTTGTCAAACATAAAATATCGTAAAATTATAAAAATAGCAAATAATGATAAATATTCTAATTTATAACTGTCAAAAATATGGAAGCGAAAGAAAAATTATATTTACAATCACGTTCACACACAAGCATTATAACTTTACTTCATTCGCTATAAAAAATAAAATCCATAAAAGAATATCTATGTATTGTTTATTATATTATTATTTTTTTTTTATTTATATTATATTTTATTTCTATATTATTTATCTTATTATTATATTAAGAAATTAAAATCTGTCTATTTTGTTTAGTTAAAACTAATAATTTTTTGCTCTACTTTGCTCGATTATAAGATATTGACTTCTAAAAATAATTAAAATTATTAAAATTTATTTTTACAATTTTATCGCAACAGAAATCCTCGAGTCCCATGTCGAAGCGGTATTCTACCCAGCATCGACTTATCAAAATGGGCCGATTACCCGACGACGAGTCACGCCGCACAATACGTGAGTAATCTAGCAGACCAGTACGGGCAGTTGGGGAAATAAAAAAGGGTCTGTTCCACCACTCTAGAAATAAACAGAGTGCCCTTAGGCAAACACCACCATGTAATCAACCGAGTCATGAGCCAAGAAGCCCAACCCTTAGGCACTCTAACCCGAGACCACCCCGTAGGCATGCACGTGTTGAAGTAGAACAAACAATTAAATACATTAAGAATCCACGTTTAAGTCAAGAGAATCATTTAAATCGTGTAGAGAGTAATGAAGAAGCACAGAGTTGGCACAGTGTCGATCATATTTGATCTGCCGTTTCGGTAATTTCGATTAAAAAACCTCGATTTATGACGCTTGATAATAGCTCATAAATGTCGATGCAATTGTGTCATTACGATAGCAAGCTTCAATTTAGATTGTACGATACTGACAGGTTGATTAGTTAAAGATAACGCGTTACATCGACCCTGGACAAATTAAAAGAACCACTTTAGATACCACAGTAATCCTTGTCGAAACAAAATGTACATATTGCTTCTCCTAGTAAAAGTGCGTTATATTTCATCTACACTGCCGTACAAAAAGCAACAAAAATTTCATACATAAATTCAGAAAATTACTTCAACTCTCCAAAGCCGAATGCTATTTATGCATCAAGTTTTGTTTCTTTTTTTATATGCAGAAGTTTTTTATAGCTATGTAATGTTACAGTTTAAATGATACATATTGATTGCACAAATTTTAATATTATAATTGGATTTTTTCTCTTATAATCTTTATATAAAATTTTCCATTATATTATTTTATTTTATTTCAGTGTTATATTTATAATAAATATATACAGCGATTTTTAGCTATGTCGAGATGTCTGCAAATATATTGCATTTCACTTATACTGCAACTCGGCAGATAACTTCGCTCGAATATCTAAATACTTGTCACAAAATTTGGCCATAGTTTGTATTACGTTAAGTCACGTACATTGATCATGTAGATTGCGTTTAGTATTTTATCATCGAAATTTTCATTAATGTCAACAAACTTTTAAAATTATATTTAATATATTTAAAATTTTGTTTTCACTCGCCATATTTCTTTTATTTTTATTAATAGTATCTCACGTCTGATTAAACATAATACTGTGTAACTGCATACACAATACACATTTTGTATATAGTAAATTACAATCAAGTCGAATTATTTTTTTTTTTTTTTGCACGTAACCGCCTATTACATTATCCTCTTAGCGTCGCGGATCATTGTAATATTTAGCAGTGCTTAATATCTAGTCCTTTCAATACTACTGTGGAATAAGTTGATTTTTCCATCGGAACATATACAAAAAATGATCTACTTCACATTCCGTATCTTTAAAACAAAAATTAAAAATATTTAATTTAATATAAAGATTTTCTGAAAAAAATTGAAACTCTCTCTTCTGTTTTTTGAGTTTAATACAAAGCGCGATCATTTGACTATGTACTCGATTACAATTGCGAATAATGTATTGTAAGTTGAAATTTTTAAAAAACTCTTCTTATCCGGAATATATTACATAATTTATTATATGCGAAATTTGTATATTAAGTGCCATCCTTCTAAATATAATATTTTAAACAATAAAACACTTTTTATTATCGTTTTATTTTATATATTTTGCGTATGTTTTTTATGCGGTTTTCACATTGTCGATTAAGAAGAAACTCGATTATCTCATTATATACGGACATTATCTGTTGAAAATATTTTTTTGTTTCCCTCTTCTTAGTGTTATTAAAATTATTTTTTTTCTATAGCATACCATTGATATATCAAATTTAGTTTCATTATTTGTTCACGGCTATCCCTTTGTTTTGTACATCGCCTTGCACACCCCTGTACATTCGCCCTCAATATCCAACATCGGGACCAGGTAAAGTATATCGTGTGCGCGGATATATTTTTAGAATCAGATAATCGCGTTTGTTCTCAAAAATATGTGATCGTACAGTGTCGTTCTAATTCCATTCCCTATTTCCCCGACAACTGCCACACATGCACCACATTGGTATCTACCTACAATTACCTATTGTACTATAGCGATTGGTGGAGGAGCAATTGCTTGACGCATCGGGAGATCCGGTGAAACCGGCAATGGTACGGGAGCACTACGACAGACAGCAAGCTTATCGAATCTTCTTTGAGAATATTAACGGCATTGCTTCGTATCTGGGCTTCATGAGAAAGTAACCGCGGAGCACCGCAAGGAGACAAACGACTGATCGTAAAATATTCACCGCCTTCATACTTCATTACGGCGCTCTAAGATGCTATCTAAAGTGCATCACACAAACGGGGAAATATGGTTGATCGACATCTATACACATGTGTATGTATAGCAAAATGTATATCGTGTAGCAGTACACACGTATGTACTTACGAAATATTTTTCTTAATGCACTAGGAGGACTCGATAATAAGAGTTTAGATATTTATAATAGAAATCTTTTTTATCCCCCATCCCATAATAAAGTATAATAAAATATTTATATATTCATAATGTTAACTATATAATAATTGAAATGAAATTTCGTGGAATATTTATCGCGTTTTAATAACAATGACTGAGCTTGAGTTAATTATCAAACAATAAAAATTATTATTTTTCTATATTATTGCTTTATAATTATGTAGTAGTAATTTATATTTACTAGTAATAATTTTAACACACATAATTTATATATGTATTGTATATATGAAGAGCTTTTTTTATCTGTCTTAAACGACAGCTTTTTTTCCACACGCGTTAACATAATGTTATGAACTATGACTGCATACACATATATATTTGTTTCATCAATATATCAAAGTGACATAAAATCCAATTTTTATTTGTCAGTGATAAGCTCGCAAACAAATAAAAATATACAATACTTTATACGATGTTTCATTATTGTTTCAAATATTATTGTAATGAGCAAGATATGTAAATACACGCAGTGACTTGAAAATTTGCACGATGTTGATATTTCTGCTCCATTTCTTGCTCCATACGTTTAAATGAATTTATGATCAAATCGTGTATTTTCTGCGCCACTGTAATGACGTTATCATTTTGTATTTTATATTAGTTATCATTTGTGTATTTTGTATATAATTACAATTAAGAAATAAAGCCACTTTAATAAGAGTGCCATTTATTAAATTGTATCTATTTTCTTTTCTATATCACTTTCGACCTGCGAAGCAGAAATTGCACGTAAGTTAGTAGAACTAGAGTTGGTAAAAAACTCATTACACATTATATATAAAGCTTAACAATCTGTTGAAATCAATAGCATTGTATAATAATGGCACAATGGTCTTGTAATGTAACTTTTATCTTTAACAAATTTACATAATAAAATTGTATGAAATAATTAATATTATAAAGATATATCGTTATAAAAAACAAATAACGATTAATGTTTATCATAAATTTAAATAAAAATTATTTAAACGCATTTTTAGTATCTCATCTGATAATAATGATTTAGGCAAATTAACAATAATATTATATACATCTTATCATTTTTATTATTGAAATATATATTGTGTAAAATATGTAATATATCATTAAAGCACATAAATAATAATCGTATTAGTATTTTTGATTCTAAAAATTTGTTATTATATTTTGCTTCACTCGTAATATATAATGTAATTTAGAGTTATAGTATTTATTTATCACTGCTAATTACAATTCGATTATTTTCAGGACGCCACAATAAAGAAATCTGTACAAACTGCATCAGAAATTAAACCTATATTGCAACGAATATACATTAATAAATTTAATAATGAATCGAAAGATTTCTCCATGAGAAAACATACAGCAAAAAATTTAAAAAAGAAACCGAGTAAACTTTGGTGGGTATATCCACGTAATATTAAATGGAAAAAATTTTCGCAAAGCTTAGAAATGCCTAAAAAAATATTACAGCCGCAAGAAAAATCTTTAAAAGAACAAATTATGTTACCAAAATTTTCTTCTATAAATAATCAAAATAGAAATATAAATCTCTCACCTGATATGGAGATTGTCAAAATTACAACGATTGTTGAGACCATTCGGCAAAAGCGGCAAAGAAATGCGCAAATATCAGAAGCAATAAAAAATATAGAGAAAATAATTGAAAAGAAACGTTTGAAACGTTCGTCTCGCGAATCGGTGGTAACTACGGATTCATGGCATGATCGAGAGAAAAAAACTTTCACTTCGAACAAGCGAGCTCGTTATCCAAAATCTCATTATCGGGATCAAGAAAAGGAGTCTTTGCCAACGAGAAAACGTGCGATTGATCTTAAAGTAGCGAGCAACGTTGCGATACCGAGTACTGTATTTTATAAACGTATTTGGGAATACATTAACGGTACTCGTCCTCATTCCGATATTATCGGCGACTACAGTTTCTTGCAAAATAATTCTGCAAAAAATAATTCTGCAAAAAATAATTCAACATGCACTGACAAAAATCAGATTACGGTTTCACAATCGCAAAAGCACAAGTTACAAGTGATAAGTCCTAAGATTAAACCGGAACGAGACTTTTATAAACGCATCTGGGATATAATCAATGCAACTCAGTTGACATATGGAGGCACAAAAGCTCGTTCTAAACGAAATGCTAATATTTCGGAAAGTAATATTTCGGCTCAATTATGCGTGCAAGAAAGAAGAATCGATTATGCAGAGGACAAGCAACCGCAAGCGATAAATGATAAAGTGACTCTCGATACCGCGGAGACGATAAAGTCGCGAAAAATATCTGATCCTTATATATCAGGCTTCCAGGGCTTCACAAATAAAATTCAACGGCAATCTAAGACTACAATTCCCACAGTGAATACGATAAAATTAAATAATGATCTAATCTTGTCGCCGTACATAAATACTGCAAGCGCTTCCGAAGTGGCTGACTTGAATAAATTTCCTGATAATGTCGAAACTAACATCGATTATTTGTCTTCCGATAATTCAATGGAATATGAAAAGCGTAACAGATCACAAAAAATCATCACTGAGTCAAGACCGCCGTATTCTTCTCAAGAACAAGAAAATTCTACCATTTCGTCATCTTCGCCAATCAAGCATACGATCGATAATACTTCGGAAAAGGAAGATCAAACGAAATATACAGAGAATTATTCAATCAATACGACTCCGATTTATGATCCTTCAAATATACCTTACGTAGAGGTACCAGATTATACCGATCAACAAGAGGACAATTTAGATAAAGATAATCAGAACTCAACTGTAGCAAAGTATAAGGAATACGATAGCGAATATGTTGATTTTGAAAGACAATACAATCCTGATGAAGAATTCTCGTCGAAATCTCCAAACGCTGAGATTAAAGTATTACAGAATATCCAAACCGGAAATAACGTGCCGAAGATATCTCCAAACGCTGAGATTAAAGCATTACAGAATATTCAAACCGTAAATAACGTGCCGGAGATTTTATTGAATGTGAATATCTCGCATTCAGATTGCACAGAAAATAAAGATTCTAGCGAATGTATTGATAAATATGATGTTAAAGATACCAAATTACATAATAATAATAGAGAAACAAGCGGCGACGTTCAACGTTCTAAAGAAGATTCAGTAGAATCCAACGAAGGTGAAAACTCTCCCACAGATTTCGTTGACTTTGATATAAATGAATATAAAAAACCGTTCAATTTGGATGATTTTATTAAAAACGATTCTACATTTGAAAGTATACAAACTAATCGTAGCAAGGAAAACGCGAAATACAAGGATAAGAAAAATCCCGCAGATCGCAGCGAGGAATCTGATGAAGAGTTCGAAATATACGCCACGGTCCCAAAAGAAGAATCGTACGATTATTTCAGAAAAAACGAAAATTATGACGATGGAATCATTTTTGACGATAGAGATGAGGCGAAAAAGAATACCCACTCTTCCGCGAAAGAGAAAGCGGAGGACAGTGACGTAATCAGCGAAGATCACTATCATTATGACGATAAAGATTTCCTTAGACATATTTTCGGAGAGAACGACGATAAAAAATCATCCGAATCAGTCGAGACGGAGGACAAATTTTTATCTCACTACTTTACAAAGGATGTTTTGGATCAATTGCGAGATAACTCAACAGCCGAAGAAGAGAGACAAAGAGAAGAGTCGAGGAATAAAGAAGAAACATATAAAACATTGTCAAGAATTTTGGACAAGAAGGATCGTTTCTCTAGATTAGATGACAATCTCGACAAAATGATTGAGGAAGGTGAAACAATTCCGATTAGATACAACAATTTCTGGAGCTTAGAATATGAATCGCCTCGTAAGAAAAATAAGGCGAGTGAAGAAACAGAAAATTAAAAAATACAAATTATGTTAAATTATATTATAAATTATATATGTTAAATTATATATAAACTTATATGCTTGTTATCACATGTTTATGTTTTTCAGAATTAGCAATTAATTAATTAAAATAAGCAATTAATTGAAATTATTATGTCATTATTATGTTAAGTAATTGGATCAAATAGTATATAACAGTATCTATTTTGTTATTATAGTAATAAATATTGATTATAATGATAATGTTACTAGAAATTAAATATGTATAATATATTCTGTAATAATACTCTTGATTAATATTCATTTTAATCGCGCAATTTATTATATATCAAATAAATATAATGTATTAAAAATATATAGAAAATATCCTGGTAAGTCTATCCTTAAAACAGTAATAGGAAATATATAAAAACATATAATATCTGTTTATATGAAGCTACACACGTATATATTTAAAAAACTATAAGTAAAACATTTATATAATATACATCCCCCATACGCAAAGAAAATTTTACAGAGTACAAATTCCGTGAAAAATACATTCCCTTTTTTAACATTTATTGTAAAGTTGGAATATAACATTTTTAATATATTTATTATTATAAAAATTGTAAATTATGCATTTGTTTTATTGTTTGTTAACGATCATGCATTTGTTTGTGCATCAAAATATTTGAATAATTACAAAAAAAAATACACCTTTGTAAAATATAATACGTATGTAGTATTATTGAATAAAAAAATCGCACATGATTTGTCATATTGTTATAGTCTTATATATTAATATGTTCCACAATTACAAAACCTGTATATTATAATTTTTACTACAATATTTTCTCCGTGTATAAACCAAAATGTTATAGCATGTGTCAAAATTTTACATTAAAGTAATAATAGATCAATTCATTATTTAATTACTAGAGCAATTATTTCACAAATAAAGCATGATTATTATATAAAAGCGCTAATAGAAATAAATAAAATATATGCGCTGAGTGCAGGAAATTAAAGAAATCAAATTAAAGGAAGATAAGCAGCGGGGGTTTCCCTAGCGAGGGTTGAATCCGGCGTTTGCGGATATATAAGACCGTCGAGTAGTCTGTTCAGTGTCATTCGTCGGTGTTTAACAATTCCAACAGTTTCGCCTTCTCAAGTTGCCATATCGATCAGGTAAATGTAAATCGTATTTTCAAAACGTTCTTTTCGAAATGCAAACGTTTCTTCTTTTCCGACCCGCGAAAACGCGCGTTTTTCTGTCGAAAAATTCATCGATTTGTTCATCCACGTGTCTACAAAGATTCACTCAAGCGTCGTTGATCGATCACATTAATCGATCAACGTCATTGTTCGTGCAACATACGTTAATGGCGGTATCGAATGCTGTCTGCGCGATCCTTGGTCTTGAATCCTTAAGTGCTTCCTGGATGGCGAGAAAGAGAGGGAGACGGAGAGGGAGAAAGAGAGAGGGAGACGGTAACTACAGTACGGAAGACCAAGATACCTTCCATCCATATTTATTATGTTTATGTGTTCACAATGTGAACGTTAAGACAAACGCGGAAGCGCGATTAACAGAGAGAGATTCCGGTTATAAACGACTGTATCTATAAAAAAGAAGTTGCGACAAGACGCAACTCCTCTCGAGTACGAGGCATGAGAAAAACTTGGCGGGAGATATTCGGCAACGCTTCGAGGCAGAGACAGCACGGTTACATATCATTTTAATCAAATAAATAATTGTACCACATATCCGGTATTCTTCTTTTTCTTTCTCTTTTGGAAATTCGTTGTTATCAGAATGCGGTTTTACCCGGACCAATAATTTACAATTACGGTATGTGAACACGAGTGCTTTTAATGGACTTTTCTCCCAATTTTTTTTTATTTTTTTTTTTTTCGAAAAGAGTGATACTTTTAAAACCCAAGTTATCCCTGAAAGTTCATCGAGTTCAGCTGCAGCCATCTCCTTCTCTGTCCTTCCTTTCGAGTGAGCGCTGATTGCAAACCGGAAATTCAAAACAGACGACGCGTGTGTATGGCGGAAAGAACATTTTTCGCATTGCCTCATTCTTTTTGGAATATTTTTTTATGATATGCATATCGGCTTTAAATTTAAGTTGCTATACATAATTAGAAAATTCTCTAACTCTTGTGGAAGATTGGTTAATAAATTCTTTTTTTCCTCGATATTTGTAAATATGAGTCTAAGTTATATATTGCAATATTTCGAAAGAAAGAAACGAATAAAAAACAGATAAATATATGAAATATTAGTAAAAATAAATCATTACAATAAATAAATCATATAATCAATAAATAATAAATACACAATAAAAATAAATCATATAATTTTTTTAAGAATTATCTTCTTAATTAAAAATATTTCTCTCGTGTCTAATATGTGTTTTTACTAATTTTGATGTCTATCTTTTTTATCATTGTAGAAACAAATATAATAACTGCGCGATTCAATAATACATGATCTAAATCATTAATTAAAGGTTTATTTAGATTATATATTAACATTCGAACGACATAAGGACAGCTTGAATAGAATTCAGAACGTATAATTTTAATTTCACATCGTATAATGTTGCAAGACATCACTTATATGTGTTCGGACTGTCACTTTCTATTTCATCATCTATGCATGCGTGTGCGTGTGTGTGTGCGCGCGCGCGCGCGAATATATTAAAATTTTTTATATTTTTATAAATCTCCAAATAACCATAGGTAAACTGTGACTGTTGCTAACACGATATGTAAATTTATATACAGAATGTGGACAATGTAAGCAATAATCTTGTATAAATTTTTAAAATAGAATTGTATCGAAAAATTGTTTTTTGATACGATCAACAAAAATAGAAATGTATTGTCATTATATCTATACTGTCCAGAGATTTCTTTCCTATTTCTATATTAATCAGCATAAAATTTTATTTGCTTTCACTGCAAAAGTTTTTATCCTTAGACATATATGTACATTTATAACTAAAAATTTAGACTTAAATATTTATTTTTGTTTCAGTTATGATTTCGTCAAATCGAATCACAACAATTGTATTGTGCGCCGTTGTTTTCGCCGTTTTTTGCTTCGCGACATCTATGGCTGATACTGAACGAAATATCGGTAAGTAAATTTGTAATAAATCTCTATCAAATTATATCAATTAAAAATACAAGTTGACCGTAATATATTCCTGTAAACCGGCTTTGTGCATACAGGTGTGTGCATTCGGAACTGTGCGCAATGCAAAAAGATGTTCGGCTCATTTTTTATCGGGCAAAAATGCGCTGATTTTTGTGTCCGTTACAAAGGAAAGCTTGTTCCGGACTGCGAGGACGAGTTTTCGATTCGTCCTTTCCTTCAGGTTCCTGAGAACGATTATTAATCCTCAGAATCGATCAAAGTTCTTCGACTTTTTCATCTTTGCGTTATAATATTAAACAACGCAATTATGCATTGCAGGAAAATGCAAATTTCGATGAAATCATTTTTGCTACGCGTTACGATTTATTATAACCAATAATATATCTGCAAATTTTCATTATTATTTCGCGAAAAATATATCTTTTGAAAGTGTTATTGTGATTAAAATTTAAAAATCTGAAGAGATTCTGAGATAAAACCTTTCAACTCTATCACATTACAAGCTATCTGAAAATTGCTTGTAATGATAAACGAGAATTGTATAAAGATATCGATTAACTAATTTTTAATTAATTAATCTTACATTGTATTATATTGGCAGTTATTGCTGTTATAATTTTATAATAATATATATTATATATACAAATATATATTTTTTTTAATCAGAGAGAGATATTAGTTATCAAACATATTAACTTAATAAGTACATGTATGCGGGATCTTTAAATACTATCTGAATGAAAGATTTACTGATTTATAAAACAGGAGAAGCGAATCTACTTAACAAGTTTTGCGCAATGCCAGAAAAATATAAAAATTATTTTTATTTTGAGAAAAAAGAAATAATTATGAATCTGTTGATATTAATATCATCTCTCTGTTCATCTAACTAGTCAAAGATATTTTTGCTACATATGTTAGATCTTTGAAATTAATGCGTATAAATATACACTACTTTTAAGTGATATATTACTTGAAAAAAATGTTTAATTATTTAGACAAGAAAATTAGTCCCCCTTGCTTGAAAAATTGCACGCAATGCAAAAAAAATATTTAAATATTTTTCGTATCAAGTAGGCCAAAACCAAGCATAATTTGAAAATTTTTATATAACTGGTCGTCGATAATTGCTGTCATCAGTTGGTAATAATAACACGTACGCATAGATATAATAGTAATACGTATACATTGGTTCAGATTTAAGCTGCATATTTGTATGCGAGATATGAATTTAATATATTAATTGAAATACTCATAATATATTATATATACTAATATATATTATTTGGCAGTATATTAAAAATAAATAAGAAAATATAATATTTGAGAAAGTATTAAATTACTTTCACGCATAAATAAAGATAAAAAGATAATTGTTTCAGATATAGCAATGCCTATATATAAAGATTTATATGTATTATATACTGCTTGTAAAATTAAATATATATAAAATTATACTATATGTATGATTCAAAAATATTATTTTCAACTCTTTGCACTTGTATATTGTCTGCTCTCAGTTGGCTACATTGCCATACCAGGTTCAAATTTTTACGAGTACAAAGGCTTAATAATAAAAATGCAAAAAATATAATGACAACGACGTTAATTTATTATTAAACAACGCATACGTCAACATACCTGGCAATGATTATGTATCATTCGCAGCAAGCAATCTTTCGTTGCAGTTTGGCGGGAAATAACGGCGCGAGAAATATGTGAGAGGATTCCCGCCTATTTCAATACGCACACACACACATACGGAAAACCGAATCGTCGACCGAAATCGCGATAGCGACATAATACGGACACTTTAGACAGCATTTGACACTTTATAAGAGATATTTACAATAGTTTTTCA